GGATGTGGCTCGAGCATTAAACTACCTTCACCTAAAGAAACCATCTCCTATCATTCACCGCGATGTTAGCAGTGCCAATGTGTTGTTATGGCGACAAGGTGATCAATGGCGAGGCAAAGTGTCAGATTATGGCACAGCTAAATTTATGCAGCAGACCATGACAGTTTGTCCTGGTGCCAGGATATACAGTGCACCCGAGGCATTTACTACAAATCAGACTGAGAAGGTATTTCTGATATATATGTTTGTCATTGTCATTTTTCAGGCTTGTATTTGGTTTTTACATTCTCTAATACTCGTGTAAAGATTAGAACGATGCCAGTTAGCGGACATGCGATGAATGATAAGACTATCCTGACATGTAACTTCTGTTACCAAAAAAAAAAACTTAGTGAAGTGCTGTATCCTTTATTCCTCTTTGTGCATTGTTTCTTTTGCAGGTTGATGTGTACAGTTTTGGTGTTCTTCTGTGTGAGATTTGCACCCGGGAACAGCCAGACCCTGAACGGCGTAAAGAACAAGTTGTTAGGGTTAAAAACCGTGCGACTCGAGCTCTTATTAGAAGATGTTTGCATCAAGATCCTAAAGCGAGACCCAGTATGGAAGACATCATTCGTGAACTACAAAAATAGTTTGACTTTTCAATCTAACTGCATGAATCCTCAACGTTGTTTAATTTTGACATTTTTGAAGGTAGCAGCATCATTGTACAAACATCTATTAAGTTATGAAAATTTTTAAAGCTAAAAAAACCGCCTTTTTTAGCAATGAATTGCTCCCACGAAAACACTTAAAATACATCAAAATGTAAACTTTGAAGAAAGAATGGAATACCTTGCCTTTCTACACGAGCTTCAAAACAGTTAAGGTTTTAAGATCTTGTAATCTGCCAAAGTTCATCATCCTCAAAATCATCACTTTTAGTTCATCTCTATCGTTTATACCGATATGATAACTTACCGTAGAGGAAAAAATCACTTTGACAAAAGAGACTGAACTTTGACAAGACACCATCGTGAAACGGTTTTAAACTTGTTTCGTTTGGTTCAGTACATCGGTCTAAATTTTTTTCGTGTAATCATGTTTTGATCTTGAGTGAGTGTTTAAACATTAAAGAAAATACCATTAGAAAAATCTTAGATTTCTTTGTTTGGAGAAGAACTCTGTCTTTTTCAGTCAATTGAAAAAATAGCTGATGCAAAAAGTAAAGTGATCAATATCATTCTGAGATTCTGTAAATTGATAGTTTTTTTGGATTCTTAAATATATTCTTTAATAAATTCATATTTCGTTGATTTTAAGCAGTTGTTCAGTCGTTTCAATTTGATTTAAGACTGAAGCTGTAATTTAACCAAAATATCTCATCCCATTTAGTTTTTCTCCAAGTTGTCAGCTGGCGCTCCACTTTAGAATTTGGGGTTAAAACGCTCAAAGCTCTAATGCCTTTGATTATTCCTTTGTCACCACGTACTCCATAAGAAAAAAAGGCTATCTTGAAATGAAATTTGGCTCTTAAATACGCGACCATGACAACAACTCGTTCAAACAAGGAATTTCTTTGTTTTTATTTGCAGACGTCTCCGTCATGGACCATGTCCCAACGAATTCCTTACTCCCCCCCCTCCCCCTACCTCCGAGATAAAAAAAAAAAAAACTACATCGATCCGGTTTACGGAAAGAATACGGCGTAAGAAGAAAATTTATTGAATTTGAAATTTTGAAATTGAATTTAGCTTTATCATTTTGCAACTGCGCATAAGACTGATAATTTTGATTCAATCGTAAATTCTCCCCACTGACCCTTAGTGATGTATCAAGTAAAAATTAGTTTCGATAAACAATAATTAGCGAGGTTATAAAAATAAACGCACTGGGAGATTTGTGTTCATCGGTTATTGGTGCTAACATGTTCACCAGGTAACATTAAAATGTATTTTGCAATTGAACTCTTTCTTCCGAGCAATTTATTGCCGTATTGCGGAATCAAAGTTGAAACCAAAGGTACGTTTACAAGGTATTCTTAAAAGTTCATCGTCAATCATATTGAACAGGATTTTACTTTTGTAACTTCTAGAATTTGAGCTAGTAAATTCAATATTTAACACCATCGAATCATCTTCAAAATTGGTGATGACTGTCTTGCTGTGTATGAGAGGAAATTCGTGATACGAACCCGCTAGCTTATTCTTCCAGTGTCAGGTCCGTTGCAATACTTAACTATAGTTTACATTCATCCTATAAAAGAGCAGGTGATGCGCTTTTCGAAAAAAATGGTTTAAGGCGTTTCGTTCGAAGTACAATCTTTTGAAAATCGGGATCCGGAGGGGTGAGGTATGTTGACTTGAATGGGGCACAGAGAACTTACCCCCCAACTCCCTCCTCTGGTCCGCCTGCTTCTCTGGGCTTGCAATTTGAGCATCTTCCTTGCACTCTTTCCACTTTTCCTCTCTCGACTCAATATAAAGCGGACGAACAAAGCAACGGGTTTTTTGTGAGAGAACAATTTCAACTTTTTGGCGTTACGCAGTCAAAGAGAAAAATGATCGTGATTGTTATCTTTGGAGCACGAGCAGGGATAAAGGTTGATATCATTAAAAGATCATCTCTGAAAAATTATTCGAGGGCTCGAAGTCCCTGAAATTAACGCACGACTCTTTGGTAGCTGTCGGTCAAACATTTTCCCAGACTTAACATGCTCATGATGCTACTCGTTCTAAACCTCTGACTATAATCTTGACAAAATGCTTTTAGGAAGGAAATGCCTTATTTCAAAGTGTAACCCACATTGATGAGTCCTTGTCAGTATTCATGATTATTTTGGAGGCCGCTGTATTTGGGAGAATCAGCGGGCAAAAGTTGCCTTTCATTATTAGGGAATAATCGGTTCTACCAGAAGAGTTTACTTATAACAGGAACGGTGCACGATTTTCAGGAATTATTAAGAAACGAGAATAAAAATACATTTGTAATCATTTTGTTATTGCTTCCAGTCCATGGTAGGAAAAGGGTTATTTTGTTTAATTAAAATTTTGCCGCATGTGATTGTTTAATTTCATGCAATACACTTCGTTGCTTTTCCGAAGTGTCTTTATTAGATACATTTAAAGGTCCATTTTTATTATTCCTCCCCTATACAAACAAAAAGAAACACAAACAGGTGGCCACTTGTTAAATATTCATAGTTGCCCTCAAAGAAACAAGTAGCGATCAGTTTGTTATGAAAACATTGATCTTTCTCTTGTCTCAGTGAGGTAACAGTCATCAATTAAAAAGAGCGAGCGAGCCAGGAAAGGAATAAGAATCTCCACCTTAAAAGTGGTAAACACCTGTGAATTGTTACACCTCCACACTTACACCGGCGTCACTAACTTTCATGTATGTGCTGTAACGCAAAAGCAAAGCTAAGAATTTAATAAATTGTAACCAAATTTTGAATATCAACATAACAATTTGATTGTATTTCTAAATTTATTTTCTAATTACTCTTCATTCCACAGAATAAGGATGTTGTCAGCTGCTGTACTGTTGGCACTGGTGACTGTATCTGTGGCTTCTGAAGGTAAAATGACTTGTTTTCTGAAGAAACGTGTTATCTCTTGCTAAAGTTTAAGAGTCTACTTGAGGGGACCATTTTTGAAAGACTTGAAAATTTATTTCTTGTTTATTTTAATGTAATTGATCATTGAAAGTCGCCACCCTTTAAAAACACTCTTGGAAACAATGGGGGAAAATACCCCTCGTAGAAGCAAGATGAGAAAAGGCACGAATAGGTCACTGATTGATCCCTTTAGCTGTCTTTGAAACTAGAAAATACTTGTTCTCGTTTTTTTTCAATTTTCATTTCATCAAATGAGATGTGTTCATCCAGTTGTATGACTTTGGTGTGAGTGAAAGTGCATCCTGACAATGACTGCTGTGAACAGCAACACCGTTGCCTGGATACATTTCAACGATACTTGCAATGTTTGATGCTCACTTGAAGTGTCATCTCTTTTTTCTAATTTATCTCGCGATACTCGTAAAATTTAAAGCCTTTCTTTCATCCAGACGTCGAACAAGAAACTGGTACCAGCAATTTTGAAAGGCAACCCCATCAAAACGATCAAGGCAACCTGTAATGGCATGGCACTCTGTTCAAGGGGGGTCAAAACTTTTCACCCTGAGGAAAGCCACAATCAAGAAACCCACCAACTTGTTCCTCGAATGAATGTTGAGAAGAGGGTAAAGCTGGAGTTTCTGATCTAAAAGTCTCCAATCATCATAAGACCTTCTCTAGCTGGGGAAAACTTAAGAAATTCTCGTTTTAAACCCTTTGAATCCAGCTTGATCTTAATTAGCTTAAAAAGAAGCGACTTTCTGCGGCGTGATTGTATCTGATGACATATGTTTCATTCCTTCTTCATCTCAACAGGAGCAAAGTGGAAGTACGGGGAAACAGACCGTCACGGTACAGACAACAGAGTCTTGAAGTATAGATTAACAATTCATTTGCTGTATGCTGGTTTATTCCAGATATTCAAGATTTTTCGCATGCTTTAAAACTATTGTAAATAAATCTCGTACCCAGATTCTACCGAGTAATTAACTGAAATGTATCCGCTCGGCCGTGGAATGTCTGGGTACGAGACTATAATACTACTCATACAAACAAATGAAAACATAGTATTTACTTTGTGCTCAAAAATCTATTTAATATAATCCCTTATTTTCCTATTAACGCTGATATTCCTAACAGGTTATGGTCCACCTGACTGGGGTAAAGTTTCAAAATACTGCGATTACACCGCCCAGTCCCCCATAAATATCGAGACTCCGGTTAAGAAAGATGCAAGTCTCAAGGGACTCAGAATTACAACCAAGAATAGAAATGGAAGGGTCAGCGGAGACATAAAAAACAATGGTCATGCGCCTACCCTAACTATTGACAAAGGCAAGGCTAGACTCACCGGGGGTCCCCTTGGAGATAGCGTGTATATGCTCCAGCAGTTCCACTTTCATTTCGGTTGTGATTACGACGAAGGATCAGAACACCTCGTGAACGGAAAGGCATATCCTGGAGAGGTACGCAATGGTAGCTCTTGTTTTCCATACGTAATCACGGCGGGAGGCGTCAGCACTACGACCACTAACTGAAAGCACCCGTGACAAATTGTTCCTCTGCTACAGGTGCATAAGGACTAGTCATCATTGATCACCTCACCTGGGGAGAGAGTGACGGTTTTTATTGTTGGAGGATGGATTACATGGTTTTCAGGGGTAACGGAGGGGGAATTAGTCGTCGTTAAAAAATCGACCGCCATTAACCGCCAATGAGGGGGAAATATAGACATATTCACAGAGCCTTCGGAGGGGTCGACAAATTTAATTATGACCCAATCAAAATCCTCCAGCTCCCATCCCCCCTCAACTCCATACCATCCCCCCTCCACCCCCTCCCATCCCCCCTCAGGCGATAACGACCGGTCTCTTAAGTCGTTCCGTCAGTCTCTAATTTTGAGATTGGATTTCTTACTGCAATTTAATTAAGTCAAGTCAGTCAAAGCAAGATGACATTTACTAATCACAATCGAGGAAAATATCTAATCTCGTGTCCAGGTTCTACCGTTAAGTGCTTGTCCGTGGAAGGTCTGGGTACAAGACCTGAAAATGTCACTGGCTATGAAGCAAACTGTGTGAAGCGTGGAATACGCGAGTGGCTATTAATCTTGTATGGCTCTAGTTTGGCATCTGGTCGGCAGATCAGCGAGGAACTATTTACAATATTGTACTTCATGTATAATTTTAATTTATCGTCTTGTAGCTCCATTTGGTGACTTATAACACAAAGTACGCTGATTTTGATACCGCTGCGTCCCAATCCGATGGACTGGCTGTGATTGGCGTTTTCTTTGAGGTATGTCTGGAAATATCATACATGTTGCTATATTAACTTTACCAGGTATTTTGTTAGTGATGAATTTGGAAAAAAAGAAAATTTTTCCTGGAATAGCAACTGTTCCTAAAATGAAAGGAATCAGCCGCATGGTGGAATCGGTAAGGGTTGGGGAAGACTGGGGTAGAGAGGTAAAGTTGAAGTTGAAGTCATCGCAATTGAGGAAATTGAAAATTGGATTGATTGAAGAAAAATGTACATCAACAGCTTTTCTTTAGTGAGATCATTTGCATACCTGTAAAAAATACCTCGTACAGTTGCAAGGGATTTATTTCTGCTCCACGACAAACATTAGAGTTGGCAACGCTCGACATTAGTGCACTAGTATACTTCATACAGCACATTGTACAAAAGGCAGCAACAAGGGTCAGATTTCAATGGTTAGGGAACTAACGCTAAGTATTGGCTTGGGAGATGGAGTGAATCATTCTAAGAGGAACATCTTTCAGTTAAAAACTTCTAAGACGATGATATCTTTAATGTGAAAACATGCTTCCTGTTTCAGGAAACGAAGAAAAGAGAAAAAGGGAAAGGAAAAAAGCACTATACCATCCGCAAACTTTACTCAGCTCTGAAAAAAATAAAGGACGTTGGTGAGGCTTTAGCAACTTACATCATCTTATATATCCACTTATAAATCCGTTTGTCTCGCGCCGTAGAGCCTGTTAATTCAAGAGTAAAGCTATCAATCAGAGATAAAGATGTTTCCACTGCTCTACTTTCTTTTCTCCCAAGACCATCCATAGATTTTCAAGCAGAAGTTTCATGAAGTAACACAACATCAACGGAAGGGTATTTTTTTATTTGAAACTAGATTTTCAGAACCAAAATTAAACGAAATGTATGGCAGACAGTGTCGAGAATTTATACATAGATATTGGAAGCAAAAAGGTTAAACATTTATAACATCAGGGCAGCTAATACAATCACTTTCTCTCCCAGGTGCCGAAGCTTCAGTCAAAAACATAGCGCTGCTCGACTTGGTTCCAGAACTGAAAGATCTCTCATCGTTCTACTCCTACAAGGGTTCCCTTACCACCCCTCCCTGTTATCAATCAGTTAACTGGATTGTACTGAAAGAACCCATCAAACTCCGTAGTTTTGTGGTAAGAACATTTTTATGCTATTTTTCTGCTTGTTAACATTTAAACACTATTTAAGTGCCTGAAAAATTAGCACTTACGCGTTTCACATATCGCCTACTAAAGCATTCAAACGCACTAGAGTCCAATTTTAGACACTAGTGTCTGAATTAAGAAACTTGTGTCCGATTTTAGATTTTAGACACAAGTGTCCGTTATTAGATTCTAGTGTCCCATTTTAGATATTAGTGTCTGGTTTTTCAGATTTTATACACTAATGTCCGATTTTAGGACGATAAGCAGCACCTGACGTGTCTAAATTGGACCCTTTTTTCTTTCGTGATGCTACTGACACTTGTGTTTAAAGTTATCTATACCCAAAAAGTCCCCAGCCTTCTATAACTTTTGTTTTTTCCGATCTTCTATCCACAGTTAATGTGATTTTTTTTTCAGTTCGGCGCCATGAGGAGACTGAAAAACGGAGAGGGAGGCCTTATGTGTGGAAACTTCAGACCACCTCAGAAACTCAACGGACGTGTTGTTTCTGAACTCGACGGATGAGCCCAAGAATCAACTTGCAACTACTTAACACTATAGTAGCTAATTTACATCCTGCAAGAGAATATAAACTCTTATAATCGCCTAGATACTCTTAGCTAGATTGTGACGTATTCTGGGGGTTTCTTTCTTAAGCAAGGATTGTTAGCGACATCCAAATAAATTGCATTTATCGGATTTGTTTGACTATTACTGTTTATTCAAAAGAAAATTATTTAAATCGCCAAGAAAATTATGATGGTAGACTTAATGACTCTTTAAAAGAAAGGAACATTTATCACAAATCTCTACCGAATGGGGATCAGTTCCTTAGAGCAAGATACCGTATCCCAAAGACATTTCAGTCATAATGATAATAAACGTTGTGAATAATTTATTATTATTGTTCATATGGTTCCATTTCTTAAAAAAAAAAACGAACAAAACAAGATATTCTTAGTCCAGGAAGAAATTATTATGAAACCCGATGAAATGGCAAAGAGATATTTTGCGTTTATCGTGATTTGGAAGTAAAAACCTTCTTCCTTCTGAAGAAAGAATGGAATGCTTGCCTTTCTACACGAGCTTCAAAACAGTTAAGGTTTTAAGGATCTGGATCTGGAAAAGTTCATCATCCTTAAAATCATAACTCTTTAGTGTCACCTCTTTCGTCTATACTTATATGCTAACTTACCGTAGAGAAAAAAATTACTTTGACACAAGAGTGAACTTTGACAAGATACCTTCGTGAAACGGTTTTAGACTTGCTTCGTTTGGTTCAGTTTCATCGGTCTAAAAATTGTTTGTTTGACCATGATTTTATCTTGAGTGAGTGTTTAAAAATTAAAGAAAATACCATTAGACAAATCTTAGATTTCTTTGTTTGGAGAAGAACTCTGTCTTTTTTAGTCAATCGAAAACAGCTGATGCAAAAAAGGAAAGTGATCTATGTCATTCTGAGATTCTGAAAAAAAACAAGCAGCAAATTGATAGTTACTTTGTAAAAATTAGATTATTATTCTTTGATTAATTCACAATTCGTTTCGGCAATTTTGTAGTTTACTTACTTGATAAAGTTTCTTATCAGCCTTGATTAAGCGGTTGTTCAGTCGTTTCAGATTGATTTAAGACTATAGCTGTAATTTAACCAATATATCGAAAAAATCATGCCTCACTGTAAAAACACAAAACCTCTGATTTGACAATTTTTTAGCATCCTGGCTCTCATCCCATTTATTTCTTCTCCAAGTTGAAAGCTGGCGCTCGATTTTAGAGTTTAGATTTAAAACTCTCAAAGCTCTAGTCCCTTTGATTATTCCTTTGTCACCACCTACTCTGTAAGAAGAAAAATTTGATCTTGAAATGAAATTTGGCTATAAAATACGCGACTATGACAAAAATTCGTTCAAACAAGAAATTTATTTGATCGTGATTGTTATCTGTGAAGCACAAGTAGGGATAAAGTTTGATATCATTAAAAGATCCTCTCTGCAAAATTATTCGACGGCTTAAAGTCCCTGAAATTAACGCACGACTCCTTAGTAGCTGTCGGTCAAATATTTTCCCAGGCTGAACATGCTCATGATGCTACTTGTTCCAAACCTCTGACTATAATCTTGACAAAATGCTTTCAGGAAGCAAATGCCTTATTTCAAGCTGTAACCCACATTGATGAGTC